TATAAAATATTAATGAAATAATAAATAATATATAATATATTATATATAAAAGAATAAAATCAAATTGGAATAGAAAAATTCTCTTAGAAAAATAGGTGGTTAAAGGGGAGAGTTAATTTTAGTGCTTCGTGATTTTTTTTTCCCCCTTTCTTTTTTTGGTCTCGTTTACAATAAGATTATTATTTTTAACGTAAAGTCATTTGGAAGCAGTCACTATATATAGGAGAGAAAACATGATTTGCGGTTTAGAAAGAGAGGTCTCTGATCTTTCCGTTCTTTACCGCTTCTCCTGCATCCTCCTCCTCCTCTTTCTCCACCTTCTTCTCCTTGAAAAAGTATAAAGGGTGAACCAAGAAAAGCAGTCTTTCCTTCTCGGTGAGGAAGAGTTGATATTCGAGATGAGGTTCAACGAACCCTTGTAATGTTAGCTAGCTAGCTAGCAAGCAAGCAAGAAAGTTAAGTGAACGACGTTGACGATGGTCACCTACATTGCAAGAGAAGGTGAACGCATAAAGGTGTTGCTGTATATGAAAGACGAAAAAAAATGACGACACGATAGGAGGGTGGGGGGTAAGATAAGAGTAGGATCAAGTTTGAGAACGAACGGTGTTGTATGTGAAGGTACAGATACAACTGGGGTTGTACAGATACAACCCTTCTACAACACCAGCATCCCCATAACACGATTACGTTCTAACACGATAAGAAAATTGAGACAAACCTTTGTACAACAAATATCTACACCACTGGATAACATAGTGTTTTCGTGCTTAACACATTTAAGAATGAAATTATCTTAAAACTAATGACCGAGATGTGTGTGGTATAATGAAACTCTGAGTTATCATATAAACACGATTTCACACACGACACGATATTTTCTAGAAACCTATTTACTGTGTTATAGGAAAAGGGGGTGTTATCTGTACTTGAAAATCTATCCTTTCTTTTATACCATCTATATCTGCCTGCACCTGTATCTATGATAGATGGGTGTGTCGTTGTTTAATGCGTGACCCAAAACATACGTTTTTACTTACTAATCGCATTCCGATCTCGAATACCTGGAATATTACAATCGAAGGAAATATTTAAATGACTAGTATTTAATATTCAAATATTTTTATATTGAATTATTTATACTATTATATTAGAGTAATAATAGCTTGAATATATAGAATAAAATCTATATATACTCTAATAAAATTAATATTCTTTCTTATACATTTTACAATCAATTTAAAAACACAACGCGTTAACTTAATTATTTGCAATCGAACTATATTATCGTTAATAAAATCATTTATAATTAAAATATCACGAGATAATCAATTAACTATGATATTCTTATAAATTATCAAAAAAAAAACGTTCTTAAAGAGAAAAAACAAAAACCTTTTACATTTAAATTCATTCATTTATTAGCTGGATATAATGAAGCATAAAATAATAGTTGTCAATTCGCAGTCGATAGGTTGAGAAACGCTGGTGATAACCTATCGGGTTTCTCACGTAGATCGAATGAATCTGTTAATCTATATATATATGTATAGGTATATGAACAATGTTCAGTGATCAAAGTGCGAAGATCCTGAGTATCCTTGTACGGACCACTGACTCGATTCACCGATTATTAACGAGCGATAATTCATCGAAGATATTATCATTGTTGTAGTAATGTTGTATATAACACATACCATCTTATATCTATACGTAGATAAAATTTATTAGATAATTCCTACGTCAGATACTCTCTCTCTCTCTCTCTCTCTCTCTCTCTTTTGCTTACTGTTAAACCTTGTTGTCATCTCATCGATGAACAAAGACTAAGATAATACACCGATTGGTCATCGATGTCGGATATAATTATAAAAGTTTAACGTCCCGTAAACAATGTTTAATCCTCATCGGTCGTGAATAATGATTATATATCTCACAAGGAATAATTTAAATCCTAATCTAAAATAGCACACATGACAATAAAATATTTCGAATTTATCTCTCTTCGAACGAGATGATTGTATTTTTCATTCCCCTTCTTCGTTCGATCACATCACCAAAAAAAAAGTGGTGACACGTAAAAAAATTCGAAGGAATTTACACGTTTGTAAGAGCTTTTACTTTCTTGTCTCGTTTCTCTTTTTTTTTTCTTTTTTTTTTTTATATATATATTTTTTTTTCTTGTCGCTCGAACAAATTTATCGATCGATAATTATTATCCGTACCTTTTTTTCTTTTTAAATACGTACAATTTTCGTTAATGAACGTGAACGTTGGAGAAAAGAAGAAAAAAAAAGAAAATAAAAAAGATATAAAAATAACTTTAAAAGAATATACTTGTGGAGCTGTTCTCTTACGTGAATAAAATTGTGAATAATTCTTGCGTTATATAGTAAAAATTTGAATAACATCGGGTGGAACGAAGTCCGTGGAGTTTATTTGAAGAAGGAAGGTCAAGACGAAAATAAAGTACCAAATAGGAACGTTTCCGCTAATTGGCTACTGTCCCAAATATATATACATACATACATAAAACACACATACACACACAGATACACAGATATATATATATCTATATACACTTCGATATTATTAACGTAATTTTTAACGAAATAAGAAAAAAGAAAAAATATATTCTCGTAACTATGATACTTTATTGTAAAAATTTGTTATACATTATTTTTCTTATTTTAATTTTTTCCCCGTTTTTTTGTTTTCTTCTTCTTCAGGGTACCAAATTATGGATTATCATGGAATACTTGGGTGGCGGTTCGGCTTTGGACTTGATGAAGGCCGGCAGCTTCGAAGAAATGCACATTGCGGTAATATTACGCGAAGTGCTCAAGGGATTGGATTATCTTCACAGTGAACGTAAACTTCATCGTGATATAAAAGGTAAGTATTTTTCCTCTGAGAGATTACTATGGACAATTTCCCTTCCTTACCTTTACCTCCCACCCTCCCCGTTTTATTCGTATAGTATTCCTAATAATAACCAACCAACCAACCAACCAACCATATTAAACCTTTGCACTCTCGATGAAAATCTTTTTTCGTTAGATCGAACCAAAAAAATCGAAAGAGGAAGAATAGTAAATTATGTGTGATTCTTTTTGTTTTCTTCTTTTTTTTAAGTTAAAATAAAACAACAAAAATGTATTATACATATTACGTGGATACATGTAAATCAATTGATTTGGTTAATTTTAATTTTCAGCTGCAAACGTTTTGCTCAGCGAAATGGGTGACGTCAAATTGGCGGATTTTGGTGTTGCTGGCCAACTTACTAATACCACGAGCAAACGTAATACCTTCGTTGGTACTCCTTTTTGGATGGCACCGGAAGTTATTAAGCAATCTGCTTACGATTCTAAAGTAAGTTAGTTTTAATTTAATAGTAAAATTTGACGATGATTACGACGGGGTTTAATAATATTTTGTTGCGTTTTATTATTCATTTTATCGTCCAATTGTATCTAGAATTATCCAATTAACATTTGTTATTTCCTCCTATTGTAAATATTTGTACAGTGCTATCAAATTGATTATAAAATCATTTGTTTAATCGTGGAAATCAAAATTTACCGAAGACCTCTCTCTCTCTCTTCCGAACAGGATATTTTATTGAGAATTCAATTGTTCACGTTGGATAAATTTAAATCCAACGAACCTATCGCGTGTGTATTCAAATTTATACAGTCTGGAAAATAAGAGGGGGAAACAAACGTCAAATACTAATTGCACGAGAACGAAATTTAATTGTTATTTTGTTATTTTGCTTTTCTTTTACACAAATTACATCTCGCACAAGTAAATTATTAATCGATTATATTATTTATATTATCTGCTCGTTACTCTCTCTCTCTCTCTAATAATAAAATAATATAACGATAATAATAATAATATTCCCGTTGATATAATTGTTCGTTTAATATATAAACGATTTGTATATTATTATTTAAATCGATTATTATTCTCTCGAAGTAATAATGCAAAGAGTTTTAACTCTTAACCCGTTACTTCGAAGAAATACGTTAGGTTAGTCGTTAGCACCTTCGTTAACACCTTGCAAAGGTAACTTTACTTTAGAAAGTCAAATTAAAAAAAGATAGAACAAAATCTCGTCTTCTTCCTAACAGGCTGACATTTGGTCCCTCGGCATTACGGCGATCGAACTGGCAAAAGGTGAACCTCCCAACAGCGAATTACATCCTATGAGGGTCCTTTTCCTTATACCGAAGAACAATCCACCTCAACTAACTGGAAATTACACGAAACAATTCAAAGAGTTCGTCGAGGCGTGCTTAAATAAGGATCCCGAAAACGTAAGTACCAATATTCATCACCCTTCTTTATTAAATCTTCTTATTAATAATCATTTATTCGATGGGATATATATTCATAATGTTCAATATGTGCGATTCTATTAAATAATCGATGATTAAAAGATTGTATTAATTTTACGTAAAAGATTTAAAGTGTTCTCTTGACATTTTGTATAATTATTTGAATATGTACGCGTATTTGTTTTTATTTTTTTACTAGATATTATTTAAAAAAATAATAAACGTCGCACGCATTTTTTACAATCACAATCATTTGCATAGAAAATATATACTGTGTAATATTATATTATATATATTATAATATAATTTTTATTTTATATAAAGTATTTTTCACATAATTATTTCCGGATGGTAAAAACGAACAAATTTGGGGTACTTCCTATAATTTTTCTATTATATTTAAAATGCAAAAATCAATGATCTTGGCTCGTAATTTGCGTTGAACATTTTGTTGTTGTTATTGTTTCATTATTAATACAAATTAATATTATTTTTGTTTGAGAATATTCTTAGGAAAAAAAAAAAAGAAATAAAAAGTAAAGATATATTCGATCGAGTAGAAAAGTAAATTCCTCTCTCGCAGTTTAACGATCACTGTCGTAATACCGAACGAAATTAAAGTGAACGCGTATCGAAATGGGAAAAAACCACGAAGAGATTCAATTTCTCTAGAAACCGGTGTGCGTGTGTGTGTATGTGTATACGTGTGTGTGTGTAAACTCGTGACGATCTTTATTTCGCGACGTACCACAACTTGTAATACTCGTTTACTTTTCTTTTATAAACTTTCTTAGGATAACGCTACACCTTTTATTTTTCTCAACTATTTTTAAATATTATCTCTCATGAATATTTTCATTTGTATTTTACTACGATCCACCTACGATACGAAGAAAACATCTATAATCATAAATACGAATAATAAAACATTCGAAAATACTAGATTAAATAATAAATTATTGAATAAATTTCATATTGTAGTTAAAATTAACACAATCAATTATTTATACTATTAAGAATATTACTATGACTCATTGTGAAATGTGTTACGTACATAAAATTACCGAATAAATTTCATTGTATTTCAAATTGACAACGGTCAATTTGTACTACTTACGAATATTAATTAATGTGACTCATTATCGATGTTTTGTATATATACGTATAAAAAAAAAAAAAATGTAATTAATTCAACATTAGTGATTTTTCATTGGATATTCTTTGTTCTTTACCATATAGAGGCCGACGGCGAAGGAGCTGTTAAAGTTTCAGTTTATAAGGAAGGCGAAGAAGAACTCGTACTTGATCGACCTGATTGACAGGTACAAGAAGTGGAAGTCACAACGCAGCGAGGAGTCCGAAACGGAAAGCGAGAATTCAGACTCGTGAGTAGATATATATATGTATTTACTTGAAAGATGATCGTCATCTTAAATAAGATTCTCTTTTTTTGAAACGTTAACGAAACTAAAATTAACTTTCTACATTATTTTTCTCCTCCCCTACACACACTTTTCTATCAATAAATAAATAATAATAAGTTTTACGCGTAAAAATCGTTTCTTTTAATATAAGAAAATAATTTGTATATTTTGATCTTATTTAACGTTTTATATAAATATTTGATAATATATATTCACCAAAAAGTGAACTTTTTAGTATACTTTCTATATTATTTTACTCCTCCCCTACACACACTTTTCTATCAATAAATAATAATAATAAGTTTTACGCGTAAAAATCGTTTCTTTTGATATAAGAAAATAATTTGTATATTTTGATCTTATTTAACGTTTTATATAAATATTTGATAATATATATTCACCAAAAAGTTACCTGTTGTTATACGATGCTAGAATATATCGTTATTTTATTTTTTTTTGAAAATATATAATAGAATTCTTATTAGAGAAAAATTAAGATGTTGGGGTGGTGTATTGGAATAATTTCGAAAGGTTTTGCAATAATAGAGAAAAAGAAAAAAAATAAATAAATAATAGTTTTTCTCGATCTTTTATAGGGAAGAATCCAAGCAAGATAGCGACATGGATGAGCCATGGATAATGACAGTGAAGGGTCCACACGGAGTTAAAGGGTCCGTAGTACCTATGTTACCATTGGATGAACAGCCTACCTCGTTGACCGTAACTCATACACCGAATCATAGGTCTTCGAATCATAATCAACAAACTAAACCACACGCGAATGGTGCTTCGCGATCACCACCTAAGGAATCTATCTTGAATCATTACAGAAGTGATTCTAGAGATTCCCTACGTGATGGACAAAGCAAGCACACGACACCGGTAAGTGAAAATCATTGTGAATATGATCGATGATAACGACAAAACTTATTCGTATTTTAATTTTTCATGTATTTTCAATTATACAAAAATATTTGGGGTCACAACGAGATTGTGATATATAATATAATATTTTTTGTAAATCATTAAATAAGTTTTTATTAATGTATGAAAGAAATAAAGAACGAACGAATGAAGTAGGTTGACAGTGTTATTAAAAGATTGTGTGAAGCTTAATACAAAAAATTGTATTTTTATTTGATATATTATTGGATATATTATTTGTAGTTGAGACCACACGAAGCTGCACCACCACCACCAATTGACACCCGAGAGAAAAGAGACGAACGAGATTACCGTGATTCCAGTAGAGAATCAACTTTGAGAGAGCCAAAAGAATTGCGGGATAGCAGGGAAAGGGATAGGGATGGAAGAGACAGAGAAAGGGACAGGGAAGGTAGAGAAAGAGGGGATGCTGCTACGAGAGATAAAAGAAACAGTAAACCGGATGTACCAGTTGTACCAATGGTCGACCATAGATCTGGTGAAGAAAAACAACGACCAAGGAGTTCGCAAGAACTTAAACACCCACGAAGTGCTGCCCTTTCCACCGTTGTCTTACCCCTCTTATCAGAGGTATATATTTTTTGTGTATATAAATATAATTTTTTTTTTAATCACACATTTTAAAAAAGAAAAAAAACAAAAAATAAAATGAAACATTAAGTAACGTTTCTTTCTTTCCTTTTGTTTTTTTTTGTTTTTATTCTTTTTTCTTCTTTTTTTTCTTCTTTTTTTCTTTTTTTTTTTTTTTTTAATCAATGATCAAGCTTCAACGAAAGCACCAGTATTCCGCGCGAGACAATAACGGCGAAGGTGGAAGTGGCGTTGGAAAAAATGGTGGTGCGATAGAAGAATTACGTGGTGCCTTTGAAATGGCTGAACGTACGTCCCCAGGAATGACCGAAGCTCTTATCAGGGAACTTCTTAAATCATTGCTTCCGGCCAATCACTCGGAGGGTCGTCTTTCTATGCTAATGGAAAAAGTTATTTTGAGGTAAATTCGATTTTTTTTTTCGTTTAAACGACATATTCTTTTATCCGACACTTACAATCATAATTATATATATATATATATTTTTAATTTTTATCTATATCGTTAATCTCATTTCTGTAACACATACAGTGCAATACTGTAAATTTCTTATTTTAATTTGTGAGAAAATATTCTTGATATATCGAATAAAGATTTATACAAGAGTACAGATTGATTA